CCTGTAAATGCCAAATAGTCATTCCATATAAAACTAATAGTCCTCATTTCACTATACTTGAGTTATTACATACAAAAATGTTGAACTAGTTGTCAAAATCGGTCAAGCAAATTTTATAAAACAAATTGTAAATCTTTATTTTCCTGAAAATGTCTTTAAAATTGAACAATTTCATGAATGATTTACAGACCTCTGTATGTTGTAGGCTCAGTTCCAATATGTACTGCAATATTGTTTACAGTTGTGCACAGCTCAACCCAAAGGAAGTTTATGTTTGTTGTAAATAAGGCTGTGTTTATTCTTTTGCACAATGCTGGGAATAAATTAAAATAGGAAAGAGCAAATGCAGAGTAAAAATGTAAAACATACATGTTCAGTGTCTTGTACTCAGATACCTCACTAAATGCAGTGATGTCCAACTGTACTGTAGTTTTCAAATGACTGTGCAAATAGTATATAGTGCTGTCTTGAGCATTTTCAGGAAGTGTCACCAAAATCTGACTTTTTTGCATTGAAAAAATGTGGAGAGTAAACTTTCATAATGAAAACATGACAAAGACATTTGACTCTCTTGTTCATAAACAATGGTGTCAGGACTTTTCATTTTGATTGACATCAATACTTGCTTTTGAGGAATGAACTATCCATTTTTGAGCATGAGCTAATTGTTTTGAAAAATTCATTAACTGCTGTGCAGAAATGCATTAGTGTGCTGAGAAGCGCACCAAAGCGACTGAGAAAAACTGTAATTTCAAGGGTGTCCTCACAATTCATGCAATTCTTTGCTCTTCACTTATCCAGTAGATTATTGCAAATGAATGAACAGCTGTCTGGAATACTCAATTCTGATTGGTCCGTCACAACATTGACCTTGGGTATGTTATTCTGAGATAACAATCACTAAATGTCTCACCTTTCTGTCATATTATATGTTGCATCTATACAGTAAAATTAGGGTGTAATTTTTTTGTAAAACATTTTATTAAAAAATGTATATTTATGTAAAAATCTTTAGTTGTTTCAACCCACCTTTTAAAATTGTGTGAAATAAGGGAACATGAGTTGGGCATAGACAGACAGACAGACAGATAGATAGATAGATAGATAGATAGATAGATAGATAGATAGATAGATAGATAGATAGATAGATTGACTTCTAGTTGATCATTTGGTATCAGAAGTGACTTATATGAAAGGCAAAGGCCTTTAGATTACACTTATTTTACCGAAATAATATATGATCATGCCTTGATTTTTAATTATTTAATTAGGACAGTAAGGTCTGACTTTGCTTAGACAAATGTCTTGTCACTTAACATAAATTATGTACAGTATAGAACATAAAGTCATGGTGCAGTGGAAAAAGAATTAATATTGTGTAAGACTCCATCATGAGCTTGGAGGACTGCATCCATACATCTCTGCAATGACTCAGATAACTTATTAATGGAGTCATCTGGAATGGCAAAGAAAGCATTTTTGCCGGATTCCCAGAGTTTATCAAGACTCTTTGGATTCATCTTCAATGCCTCCTCCTTCATCTTACCCCAGATACGCTCAATATTGTCACATGTCTGGTGACTGGGCTGGCCAATTCTGGAGCACCTTGACCGTCTTTGCTTTCAGGAACTTTGATGTGGAGGCTGAAGTATGAGAAAGAGCGCTATCCTGCTGAAGAATTTACCCTCTGCTGGGGTTTGTAATGTTATGGGCAGCACAAACGTCTTGATACCTCAGGCTGTTGATGTTGCCATCCATCTGCAGATCTCTTGCGTGCCACCATACTGAATGTAACCCCAAACCTTGATTTATTTGTGATGATTGGGATGCAGTTCCTATACTGCCACTTTTCCAAACTAGAAGTCAAGTTATTATTTGTTGCTCTTATACTGGGATCGGCGACAAGACTTTTGTTATGTAGTGTACTAGTTAAATATTATGTTTAAAAGAAATAAAATTGGATTTTTGCTTTGATAAACATATAGGGATGCACTATATTTCTTAAAAGTGCAAATAAACATTGTTCTTTATTGTTTATTCATTCATTCATTCATTTTCTTGTCGGCTTAGTCCCTTTATCAATCCAGGGTCGCCACAGCAGAATGAACCGCCAACCCATCCAGCATGTTTTACGCAGCGAATGCCCTTCCAGCCACATCCCATCTCTGGGAAACATCCACACACACATTAACACACACACTATACGGACAATTTAGCCTACCCAATTCACCTGTACCGCATGTCTTTGGACTGTGGGGGAAACCGGAGTACCCGGAGGAAACCCACGCGAACGCAGAGAAAACATGCAAACTCCACACAGAAACGCCAACCAAGCTGAGGTTCAACCCAGCGACCTTCTTGCTGTGAGGCGACAGCACTACCTACTGCGCCACTGCTTCGCCCCTTTATTGTTTATATAAGACACTTTTTATTGTTCCTCATTTTGCAATTGACTGGTCACAAAATTGTTATTGAACAAAGACTTTTGAAACTTTATAACTAAACTCTGTGAGCACTTGAGACACAAGAAAGGCTCGTTTGCTTGGCATCATGTACATTATACAAGACAATCTGAATGATCAGTGGATCTCTGTACAGGAGGAAACTCTATAGTCCTTTGAGTATTAGACAGGGCAACCTGAGAAACACTGGCCACCACAACATCGCTTTACATTCACATGACGCTCAAGAACCATCAGGCAGATTCAGCTAACAATAGATCTGAGTGTGTGTGTGTGTGTGTGTGAGAGAGAGAGATTTCACCTGGTGTGTGTGTGTTCATACCACATAAAGATGTGAAAACGTAATCTTGTATTAGACAATTTCATTCATCAATTTTCCTTCGGATGAGTCCCTTATTTATCTGGGATGCCTTTCCAGCAGCAACCCTGTACTGGGAAACACTCATATAAACTCATTTACACACACACATACTACGGCCAATTTAATTTTCTTTTCAGCTTAGTACCTTTATTAATCAGGGGCGCCACAGCGGAATGAACTGCCAACTTATCCAGCATGTTTTACGCACCGGATGCACATCGAGCTGCAACCCAACACTAAGAACCACCCATATATTCTCCATTCACAAACATACACTACAGACAATTTAGCCTACTCGATTCACCTATAGCACAATCGCCTCACAGCAAGAGGGTCACCGGTTTGAGCCCCGGCTGGGTCAGTTGGCATTTCTGTGTGCAGTTTGCATGTTCTCCCCGTGTTCGCGTGGGTTTCCTTCTAGTGCTCTAGTTTCCCCCACAAGTCCAAAGACATGCGGTATAGGTTAATTGGGTAAGCTAAATTGTCCGTAGTGTAGGTGTGTGAATGGAAGTGTATGAATGTTTCCCAGTGATGGGTTGCAGCTGGAAGGGCATCCGCTGTGTGAAACATATGCTGGATAAGTTGGTGGTTCATTCCGATGTATAAAGGGACTAAGCCAAAAAGAACATGAATGAATGAATGAATATAATTTTGATTTTGTCACCTCACAGCAAGAAGGTTGCTGGTTCGAGTAGGTCAGTTGGTGTTTCTGTTTGCATTTTGCGTTTGAGATCTGAGTTTGCATGTTCTCCTCGTGTTGGGGTGGGTTTCCTCTGGATGCTCCGGTTTCCCCCACAGTCCAAAGAAATGCAATATAGGTGAATTGAATCAGCCGTAGTGTATGTGTGTGAACGTGTGAGTGTTTATGGGTGTTTCCCAGTGCTGGGTTGCGGCTGGAAGGGCATCTGCTGCGAAAAACATATGCTGGATAAGTTGGCAGTTCATTCCGCTGTTGTGACCCCTGATAAATAAAGGGACTAAGCAGAAAAGAAAATGAATAAATGATATAATTAAAAAAAAAAAAATATATATATATATATATACATATATATATATATATATATATATATATATATATATATATATATATATATATATATATATATATATATATATATATAGGCTAATGCTATACAATAAATAACACTAAATTTACATAGATGCATTATTGAATGAACAGCTCTTATAAATCAGCAAAAGAATTATTAGCCCTCCTGAATTATTATCCTCCTGTATATTTCCCCCCAATTTCTGTTTAACGAAGATATTTTTTCAACACATTTCTAAGCATGATAGTTTTACTAATTCATTTCTAATAACTGATTTATTCTTTGTCTTTGCAATGATGACAATACTAGATATTTTTCAAAATACTAATATTCAGCTTAAAGTGATATTTAAAGGCTTAACTAGGTTTATTGGGGTAATTAGACAAGTCATTGAATAATGATGGTTTGTTTTGAATCTGTAGACAGTCAAATAAAATACTGCTTAAGGGGGCTAATAACATTGACCTTAAATGCTTTTAAAATAATTAAAAACTGCTTTTATTCTAACCGAAATAAAACAAACAAGACGTTCTCCAGAAGAAAAAAAATATTATAGACCATTTTGAGGGATGTAAGCAAAAACATTTTACATTTTTATTTTATATGGCTTCTGAGTAACCAAAAATTGTCACATGTTGATAAACAATATTATGATATCTGTTTTAACATTAAGTTGTTATTGAATTGCCTAAAATTATGTTACAATTATGAAATAGTTTGATAAAAAGCAGAAAATATTTATGGACCAATGACATCACCACATTAAAATTGTCTATAGGTAAGACGGACAAATTGCTCTGTTGAACATCATTTGGGAAATATTTGAAAAAGAGACACAGGATGGCTTAAACTGTATATATATATTATTTTATTATTTATTACAATATATAAGCCTATTACAAAAAAAAAACATTTATGCTATACTATTAAAAAATGTCTATTGTTGATTTGAATGTTCCTGTTGTCATTGTAAGTGGCTTATTTGGATACATTTTAAGTATGTCTTCTAATGATTAAATGAAAATGTAGCTTTCTGTTCCTCAAAATACTGTTAAAAACTCGAAACAGTACTCTTCGCGAGCCCCATCCCACATGAGTCGCGGGGCTCTGCCGAGCGTGAGCGCCCGCCTCTGGAGGACATGCGCCGGGGACTCGACACGTGATCCGCGCGCCACAATCCAGTATGGCGGAATCCGTCTGTGAGTGGATCCGTCGTTGGCGCGCTCTCCAACGGGAATAAAGTCCGGAGCGTTGCGTCCGAACGCGGTGAAGCTGCGGAGAGGTGAGCGACCATTCTCACGCACCCTCCAATACATTTATCCCTAAATGCACCGAGCACTGAAAGCAAGAGAAAGAAACTTGTGGGCGACCAGATGAAACAATCAAAACACTATGTGTGTGCGCGCGCGTTTGTTTGTGTATGTGCATGCATGCATGTATGTATGTATGTATATGTGTGTGGTGAATCGTAACTCTCGCAGTAGTTGCGTGTGTGTGTCACGTTTCATTTCAGACTTCATGCGTTTTCCTTGTACAAAGGGGTATTTTCATCAGAATGTTGTATTTAGGATCAAAATGAAGGTATATTGCTGAACTGTTTAGCTATAATGGTCTTCAGGTGAGCTACGGACAATGTTTGCTTTTACATATTGATAATACAAATATTGACGTTTTGGCGGTCAAATATGTTAAATATACGTTTAATATGCACGTATATCTATGGATGTTTAATCTGTATAAATGTGTATTATTAATACAAGCAGTCGTAGCAGTGCTTTGATTGACGCTGTGACAGATGTCAGCTAACGTGTCATGAATATACACATTTGTGAGAGATTTTTAGGACTTGCTTGTTTTGTTTTGTGCAGCTTGAGAGCTTCAAATCAGCATTTATCATATTTTTCAGTATTTGGTTAAAGGAGCTTCTACATTGTTTCAGCTCTTGGTTAACCATTATAGATAGTGGAGTTCAGGTCAATAAACAGCATGGGTTCCTTTTTGTTTATGAAAGCTCTGACGTCACACGCATAACTGATGATTCTTGTGTCGGTTGTATATCTCTGAGTGTAAAGTTGGTTTTATATTCGCACAATGGGACTTTCCCCTTAATAATATAATTTTATAAAAGTATGTTTTGCACACTCTAAATAGCAAAATCATATTAGCCAATGTCTATCAAAGTACAATATTGTTTACAGTCAAATAAACAGTGTTAATGTTGTTTTGAAGTCATACATGCATGCTAATTCTGACCGAATGTTCAAAGTAACATGGTAAACTATATAGAGATTGCTTAATGAACGGATGTGAGAATATAAAACCAACTTTACCTCTATCTTAGAGTAGCCCTTCTGCGTGTCTTGACAGCATTTTGTGTATGAATGAATGGATAAAAGTGAATTTAGATCATCAACAATCACTTGCGTAGTTAAATTAACACTTTTAAGTTCTTATTGAGGTAAAGTTGATTTTAAATTCACACATATTTCTTCAGTGATAACTTGTGACACACTCCCTAAATTGTTTACAATGCTACTTTGAGTATGCGGTCTGAAATCATATGCAAGTGTGACTTCAAAACAACATTAGCACTTATTTGACTGTGAACAATGTTGTACTTTGATAGTCATTGGCTGCTAATATGATTTCAATATTTATAATTTGCAGATAATACTTTTCTGATGTTATATTTTTAATGAGAAAGTCCAAATGTGTGATTATAAAACTAACTTTACACTTTACCTCAACAGGGTTTAGATTTTTACTTGCCCTGCCAAAGTTTTCACTGGCCCCACAAAAAGCCAAATATAATTCTATAATAGACTTTATATATATATATATATATATATAACCCTAACCCTAACACATACATACATATAGGGCTTGACATTAACTTTTTTTGATCACCAGCCACTGTGGCTAGTAGATTTCCAACATTACTAGCCACTCGCCATTTTCACTAGCCACACTTTTTTTGTTTGGAAAATATATTTCATATGCATAAATGTGACTTTGACATGCTAAAATGACTTTATTTAGATGTTGTGTTATGTCCACATGCCTTCTCATTCATTTAACTTCTTGTGTGTATTGTATATTAGCTTGCTCAGTGTGCATGAGCAAATGGACTGTGTCTTAATGCAATTAGTTTTTATTTCACATGACTTTTCAGGGTTCAAAATTAAGGACTTAGCAAATTTATCTCTAGCCACTCCAAATAATTTCTTAGCCAGAAATTTTTAATGTGTCAAAACAAGGAAAATATAGCATTATAGGTGCACTTTTTTGTGTTAGCAAGTATTTTACACTGGCACACAAGTGCCAGTTTCACAGCTGTCATATCAATGACGAAGCTTTTTCCTCATAAATGCAAAAAATGTCAAATAACATAAAATCAGTCATTTTTGTTTTATAGAGAGCCGACTCTCATCCTTTTGATGAGCATTATATTGTTTAGGTTGTGCAGTTTCATTCACAGAATTTCTACAAAGCATGTTGTATACTGTAAACTCGCAGACTTTTTTTGTCGTGTTTATAACGCATGTTTATTTTCCTCATTTAAGATATAAAACATGTTTACAGATTGGTATTTTTCTGGTTTCTTAACTCTGAGTTTAGTTTTGATGTTTCAATATAATGTTAATATACACATTGCCACGTGTGTGCGTGCGTGCGTATGAAAGTGAAAAGGTGCACTTCAGTTTTGACACCCACAGACATATAAATCAGAGACTGACTTTCTCATGCATAGCCTCATTTCAGTTGTCAAGTTTTGTAAAAAATCAGTTTATTTAATTAATCAATCTAGTAAAAAAAAACTTTGGCTAGAATTATATGCATTATAGGCTTAAATTATAGAGAGAAACAACAGATGAACTGTGGTGCCAAAAAATGCACTCCTGCTGTAAGTGACACCCCCTCTGAAATATGCATAATTGCATATATTAACTTAAAACATTTTTTAAATTAATTAGAGTTATGACAACTAATGATAGTGACTGAGGTCAGTTCCATGATCGGAACCATTACCTTACACAATATATACATTTAAATAAGTGAATAGATTGAATTTAAATACACTACTGATTAAAGTAAATTTGTTTAATGTGTGTAACCCACCAACATGCCTAATTTTAGTAACAGGCTCATTACATCAGTCTATACTACAGTCAATATTTTTATTTTTCATTTATTTGTAAACCAAGTTTTAAGTCGCAATTTTACTTCTTGTTCTGGCTTGATGCATCAAAATAATAATCATATTAGCCTACAGTTTAATCAGTTATGGCCTTTGGTTTTTTAAATGTAGACTAAGAATGTTAATGAAAGTCTAGGAAGCGGGTGTGAGAATTTTACCTCAGGGATGCATTTCCCGGAGCAACACGGGGACTGCAATCAGATCATGAAGCAGATCAATGTTGATCTTTCTTTCCAGGTGTCAGTTCAGAAATGTACAAAACAATAGGCCTAATACAAAATATTATAAGATTAAATATGAAAATTTTTTCAGATGGTCATTTTTGGTCAATTTTCCTAACAGATAAACAGCTTTCGCTAATATTTCAGTATGCTTTCACTTTCGTATTAGACATGAAACGCATATTTACCGGTAGGAATGACATCCTGCCCTACTCATTATTCTCTCTACACATAGTCGTATGTATGGCTATTACACAATCATAATACACTGTGATATAGCCTAGTTTGTCTGATTGGTTTGTTTTCTCACTACGATCGATCTGCTCAATCGAGCCGAGACCACCTCATTCAGGCGTTCTCGGACTGATTGATTTAAGTCGGACCGAGCGTAATTGCGTGATTCACATACGCCAGACAAACTGCGCTAACTTCGCAAATGAAACAGGTTCTGAAACAAACACCTGGGCCTGAAAGCACCCTGTATTTTCACGCAGTTGACAAACAGTCGCAGCCAAATTAATCTTTAGTGTGTTGTTATTTTGACCTGAAGTGACAAGTGCGCACATGTGCTTTCCTTCACCATTTTCTATGGCGTCTCTCATAACTAGTCGACCATTGACCATTCTCTCAGAGGATGAAAATCGGACAGATTGCTGCATCTCTGATACAAGTTTATGGAGAAAAGTAAAAAGCGCTGCAGTGTTTGGATGTGCTGTGTTTGTCTGAGGTCATTAGTCTACCATTATTACTGAAATGTGTATATTCCTCACAAAGTGTGAAGCAGATTGGTTAGTTCTGGTTGGTTAGCAGTGCGCCCGGGGCATTCGAAAAAGTTCAAATGTTTTTCAACTAGGTTCTCCTGGAACTAGGATCATGTGTGTTTCATGCAAGTCACACGCCTCCATTGGAAATGACAAACAGACATCCTGAGCTTATTGGCATTGCTTTCAAGGCACACACCCAGCAGCAGCATTTAAATAAAACTATAGTGCTTCATACCAAAACTACATACCAAATCTTCTTTTTTTTTTTTAATTTTTTTTTTTTATCGATATTGACAATGGTATTCGATCAATAAATGTCAATACCGATTTTTACCTCCCAGCCCTAAAACCTGAAAACCAGGGTTTATTCAGCAAATATTGATTGCATTAATATCAGATAAAGAGGAGTAGATGATGAGGTAAATGTCTTTGCTGTTTGTTCAAACTACTTATTTAAAATGAGCTGAATTAACACAATTCTTGATGTTTTTTGAGACAACTTAATTGTTTCATGTACAATCTACTTAAATTTGTCAAATCAATTCAGTTAACTTAATTTTTGTTGGGACAACATTAAGAAAATATGTGGAGCCCTGCAATTTTATTACAGTGTAAATTTTTATTATTTGGTGAACAATCCTTTTAGATTCAGTAGAAATATGATTTTTTTGATAATTAATTCGGTAAATATATATAATAGTTGTTTTATTGATACCGCATGAGGGAGAATAAGTGATGAGGGAATTTTAAGTCTCTTTTATCTAACTTCAGTAGAAACTGAGAATTTGTTTTAAGATCTACACATTTTTACATTTTTAAAGCCATGATGAACAGTCTTTTCTTCAGCAGAAACAACATGTTGTGATTTGAAAACCAGGGTTAATTCAGCAAATATTGATTTTTCTAATACCAGATAAGGTGGAATAAATAATGAAAAATAATTTTCGTTTTTGAGTGAACCATCCCTTTAAATCCAAAAGAAACGGAGAATTTTCTAAAGGCCTACCAATTTTTTTTTATACATTTTTAATGTTATAATATATGGGGCTGCACAATGTATCATTTCAGCATCGATATTGCAATGTGTGTCCAAAGTAGT